CCTTTCCCGTATCCCTTTGAGCAAGGGTGCCTGCCTGTCAGGCTCACTACGCCTTTTATGGTTTGCCTGCCACAGAGGAAGGAGGAGGGGAGTGAAGATTCCCTTTCCTAAATGCTTTGATGTGCCAGACACTGTGCCACAGAGACCTGTTGTTCTGCTTTATTTCTGTAGAGGGGTACGTGCTTGGGGGGGGGGGAGTCAACTATTATTTCTGGCAGGCAAATGCTGTGGGGTGATTGGGTCCTGATCTTTAGTGCCTTTGCTTGAACACAATATATCTGCAATCTTTGCACCTTCACCTTCAGTCCTAACATAGGTAGCGTCCAGTCGGATATCTATCAATGTCTCAATAAACTTATCTTTCTTTGAAGTGAATGGTGTTGGGAACTGGTGTAGCTGAATCCATATTACTACCTCCCCCGCTTTCAAAAATCTCTTACTTCTCGCTGGCTGCATGTCTACAGCTCTTACTTTCTTCTCTTATTGACGGGCTACGTTGGAGAAGAGAGTGGGTGGCCAAGTAACATGGAGTTTGTTTCAGGTGGGTCGGTCTGAAGCAGCAGAAGGAAGTTTGAGTCCAGTGGCACACAGTGCACACAAAAACTCAGACCAGGAATGAAACTTTGTTGGTCTTCAAAGTGCCACTGGACTCAAAGTTTATTATGGAGCTCAAGCATGCACATGGAGTATTTGCAGCATATTGCCCAGTGCTTTATTGTTCAAGAGTACTGCTGGTAGAGTCTCAGGAATGATTGGAATAAAGAGCTAAATTGCCCTGTTTTGCCAAAGCGATGAGAAATGGTCTTGCTCTCTCGATGGATCTTAGGTTGAGGCTTATTCAGCAAAAAAAATTATGTTCAGAACACACTGGACACCACAGCAACTCTTTAGTACTGTAACTTAAAGCAGAAGCCCCTTAAGCATATACTTCGGGCATGGCTAATCACTCTGTTCTTCTGGAAGGAAATAATTCCTCATATCAATTTTGCATTAGAATGTTCACTGGTTTCTGAGGATGTTCGTGTGCTCTTAAAGCAGGGTTCCCCAGCACTGGGGCCTGTGGATGCCGTTAACACACTCTTAACACACTTGATTATAAAAATTAGGCAGGGCCACGCGAGGCTTTGGCTCATTAGGGCTTCTCATTGACTGCACAGATGAAAAGGCATCCTATTAAACAGTGTCCGTCTGAAATGTTGAGGACTTACTATTAAAGTTACACGTAACTTAATTCCCTGCTATTTTCTAGTGGGCTCCAACTTAGGTGGCAGACATTTCTTGCAGTCGCGCCCACCACCCTGTGTCAGAATTCTAAAGGTGCCCCACAGGCTCAAAAAAGGTTGGAGACATCCGTTTTATATCTGCCCATCTTTCGGAGACTACCTGACGATCAACGGAAATGGACCCTCCGCGCCCTTACTACTGCTAAGAGACTCGTATGACAACACTGGAGAAATAAATACTCACCTCTGGTAAATCAGAGGACTGAGAACTTTACAGCTTTTATTAATATTTGAACACAAGCCACTCTGAGCCAACAATTGCATATGGACTCATTTTTAGATATTTGGAAACCTTTTATGGAACCCTATATGTAGATTTGCCACAGGTTTCTACTCTGTGTACTTCACCTCCCTTTTTTCTTTTTGTTACTGGATTTTGGAGGGGGCTTTCTTGTTCTTTCTTGTTTTTGGAAATCAGGAAATTAAAAAAAGAGCGCAGCTTGTAATTTGCTATCAACCTGTGATTCAAGCATACATGGGTTTGAGCCTCACTCCCTAAAGCCTGCCAGTCGAAGAGGCATTTTGCTACACATCCAGAGTGCCAGCAGAGAAAACCGATCTGGCTCTCTCCGACACAGGACGTTCTTCCTCACTGGGACGTCATAAGCAACTGGCCACTGGTATTGCAGAAACCACCCTGGGAGGCATGTCCCAAATTTGGGAAAGGTGACCTTCTATAGCAAGCAGTTTGTGGCCTAACAACAGCTGGCAGGTTCCGCTATTGCCTGCTAGCGTCACGGGTCCCACCAACACAGAATGCTACTGAGATCTGTAGTGTGCCGCCAAAGCTGAATAAAGTTGTCTCCCAACTAATCCTGGGCATGTTTATCCACAAGAACCTCATGCCTGTCTTTCAGTCACCAGATTATAGCTCCTGGTGCTTTACATCCAATCTTTCAGGCAATGCAGACCTCCACATAAATTAAAAAAATAAAGGAAAAACACTTTGCACACAGAGGTCACTGGGTGATGACAATCCTTTTTTTGGTGGTTGTTCAGTTGCAGTCAAGTCCTGACTCTTCGCAAGCCCTTTACGGAGGGGTTTCTACTTGTTGTAAGCCACCGTGGCCCTGACCCGTGGGTCCCAGACTAGCCCGATCTCAGAACCGAAGCTGGGTCAACCCGGGTTAGTACTTGGATGGGAGACACACACACACCCCTCAGGCAGCCCAAGGTCACCATACAGTGGCAGGCAAGGCCACACCACCCTGAACCTCCCTTGCCTTAAAAACCCCGTGGAGTTGCCAGAGGAGCTCCCATCCGAACCAAGTATTGAGGTACTTTATAGTGTCATGGGATTTCTGCCATTATCTTAAAGGTAAAGGTTCCCTTGCTCGAAAGCCAGTCGAATCAGACTCTAGGGCTGAGGTGCTCATCTCCGCTTCCAAGACGAAGAGCCAGCGCTGTCCAAAGACGTTTCCGTGGTCATGTGGCTGGCATGACTAAATACCAAGGCGCACGGAACGCTGTTACCTTCCCACTGAAGTGGTCCCTATTTATCTACTTGCAATTTCTTGCTTTCGAACTGCTAGGTTGTCAGGAGCTGGAACTAGAGACGGGAGCTCACTCCATCATGAGGCACCTGGGTCTCGAACTGCTGAATTACTGACCTTCCACAGCCTGCAGTTCAGCGTCTTAACCACTTGAGCCACCGCACCTCATCTTAAATGAGCACGCTAATTTCATGTGCGTCTAAGCTGTTGTGTTGGGTTGTTTTTTTTTTAAAAAAAAGGACTGCAGCCACCTTGGAGTGCTTCATGTGCGTCTAAGCTGTTGTGTTGGGTTTTGTTTTTTTGTTTTTAAAGGACTGCAGCCACCTTGGAGTGCTTTGATTCCCACTGAAGTTTGCATCCAAGTGACACCGCAAACGCGACAAAAGCATGCGCAGGGTGGGGTGGCGCTGCAGTCATGTGCCACACCAGGGACGACCTCCCCTGGGCTCAAAGAGGCCACACCCTGTCCCCAGAATATCTGCCACGATGCGTCTCTCCGAGGCTCACAAAGTATATGACGTATGTATGCATGTGGGGCGGGCAAGAGCCCGGCCAGGCCAGGCGCCTGGACCACACAAGCCATGCCTCCTTTGGTGGAGCCAGGGGTGGACAAGCAGGATATACCGCCGTGGGATGGTCCATCCGTCTCTTGAGTGGGGAACTTGGGGCTTACTAGTTTAGATGGGCTGAACCTCGTGAATGGAACGGGGCTGGGGACCAAACCTCCATACTCCAAGTGAGCTTCCGTCTCCCCGGAGACCAAGATCCAAGGTCGCGTGGCTGCCTCATACTTCAACAGCCCCAGGGGAAAGGAGGTCTTGAGTTACTCGGGAGGGGGCTTACTATTGTCCAGGGGCCATGCAAACAGTGCCCTCCCTCCTCTCTCCCTCACCACATCCCTGTGAAGTCTGGCCCAGTGTGCTATAGTAGTTAAGAGAGCGTCAGCCTGGGGACTGGACCCAGGTTCAAATCCTCACTCTGCCAGGGAAGCTTGCTGGATGACCTTTGGCCAGTAACATGCCCTCGCAGCCTAACCTACCTCACAGGGCTGCAGATTGGGGAGGAGAGTTACGGAAGCTGCCTTGGTGTGGTGGTTACGGAAGCCAGTTTGGTGTCGTGGTTAAGTGCGCGGACTCTAATCTGGGAGAACCGGGTTCGATTCCCCACTCCTCCACTTGCACCTGGCTGGATGACCTTGGGCAAGCCATAGTTCTGACAAGAGGTGTTCTTGAAAAAAGAGCAGTTTCTGTCAGAGCTCTCTCAGCCCCACCTACCTCACAGGGTGTCTGTTGTGGGGAGGGGAAGGAGTTTGTAAGCCGCTCTGAGACAACTTTGGGTAGTGAAGGGTGGGGTATAAATCCAATCTCTTCTTCTTCTTGGGCCCCCACTGGGAAGAAAGGCAGAGTCTAAATGAATACACTCACCCAGTAGCCTCCCGGGCAGAAGGGGGATGAGAGAACCCAGTAACCTCAGTCTCAGCCTAACACTCCTGCCCACCACTTGCCCAGGGGTCTCCTCCGGGGCTCAGTGCAACCGCCAAGGGTTGCTGTTCACACCGGTAATATCTTGCCAGTGGGACAACGCAGAGTTGTGAATCCAGTTGGGCAATAGTCTCCAAAGGGACACCAAGACCCTCTCTTCCCACACAAGCCAAACTGTGACAACCTCAAGAGAGAGGGCAACACCTGGCTACATGTAGCATGACACATTCTTATGTTACTGGAGCGCCCTGCTCTGATCAAGGAGAACCGAGATGCAGGTAACATGGGTCCCAGGTGAGAATGCCAAACAGAACCACCTGGCCCAGCCACGCCTACCTGCCTCCTCAAGAGGTGTCAACAGAGTGGACTTGGAACAGGATTCACCTTACAGGATTTAGAACAGGACGCAGTGTTCCCTCTAAGCTGAGTTAGGATGAGTCAGCTCAAGAGTTTTTTAGCCTCCGGCTCACATATTTTTGTCTTAGCTCAGGAAGGAGGGCTCCAGAGAAAACTAATTTATGCAGTAGCCGAATTGCTCACTCACATTAATGCCAGCAGCTCGCAAAGTACAATTTTTGCTCACAAGACTCCACGGCTTAGAGGGAATATTGAATGGGAGGTCCGAGAGGCCTGGTGTACGTGGAACCGGAGGAAGCCTTATGTGGGGGAAGGCTGAGGCCAACGTTCACTCCTTCTTCTCAGCAACTTACATTTAAAATACCTGGAGGCACAAGTATACGTGTGGATTTGTTTTATTCATAATTCGGAATTGCCCTGGGATACCAAAAGTATTTCTAATTAAGGTGATTTTTAACAAAAAAACCTGTTGACCTCACTTTTCAGAACATCCGCTGATCCATTTCCTTATTCCAGTGGTGGTAGATCACGTGTTAAAAGAAACGTAACATGCACACATTTGTACAGGTTTTTCATAAAGTCTATTTCATTATTTGTGGGTAGCGCGTTCAACAAGTTAAATACATTTAAATAATGTATTGTGTGGTGACTGCACTAATGCAGCGTTAAGAACTAGGTAGGTAACCAATTTAACTAAAAACCAGCTAACTAGAACTGCCTAAATATGCCGAGTACCGCTCTTTGTTCTAGGCCACCCCACGGAAGGGGGAGGGGGAACCTCTGGGTCACACTGGAATTAAATTTTTAAGGCCATATTCTTCCGATATCCCGTTCTCTGTGGCAGCCTCCAGTCCCTTAAGCCTCTAATTCCAGGCCGAGACCAAGTTTATGACCTCCGGCGTTGATGTTCTTGCCATCTATCAGGGCGGACAGTGTCAGCTTCACACCTGTAAGGGAACACAGCCCAAGAGTTAGGAGCCAGCAAGAAAACCCCTTCCTTGTTCCGTCTGTGCCCCTTCCTTCGTCTTCACGCCTCCAGCAGAGGCAAAGCTGAAAAGGCCTTGAGGCCCACCCCTTCCTTCCCACCCGAGCACTGGCCCTAAATCTTGGAAGCCTGCAGAGATCGACAAAACTAGAAGGCTCCATGGAAAGCAATCATCCCTCTCGCCTGGCATTTCTTATCTGAGCAGAACCTTCTGTTACACCACAGATGATAATCCTGCTCGTGGAGGGCACGGAAACCTCCCGTCTGGGTGCTTAAGCAGTCAGAAGAACAGGCTCAGAGGCCATGCTTCTCCAGCCGCGACTGAGTGGTCCAAATACACAATTAACATTTCGCGATCCTGCTGGCAGGCAGCACGCAAAGGCCTCCAGCCACACAAGCGTCAGTTCAGTCCCCTGTTCAGCCCGCACAGCATCTGTCCCATGATCGTCTTATTCTAGAGAATATCATGGATGGAGACCCTGGTTTTGGTGACCTTCTGGTGAGGCAATGTTCAGCTCATACTGTGAGACGGCAAAGATGCGGGAACCTTCTTTTGGTGGGATGCTCAGATATGCCAACGTAGCCCGTGGCTTTCAAACAGACCACCCGCTTTCTTAAACGTGGAAACACTCCTCCCTCCTCCACTTGTACAAGATTTAATTATCCTTCTGTTAACATCTGTCACGGGCAGACTGGTTTTCTGGGGTATTCACAATACTGCAGAGCACCGAAATCTGAAACCTTCCCCCCCCCCACACACAGCAAATGTGTCCATGAAACTTTCTTCAAGTTAGATTTCCAAACCGTTTGCCTTTGCCTTTTCTTGGGGTCCCTGCTTTGGAGGACGTACAGGGCTCTTCAGCAATCGAGGGGCCAGGGACATTCTCTCCCCCCCCCATTTTTTCAAGTGAAGGGGCAACCTGCCCTCCCCTGCTGCAAAGGTTATCCCCCTGGCTACCGGCATCCCCATCCCCGTCTCTCTCCCCCACCCAACACCTGAATTACAGGGGGGCAGACTTATCATTGCAGGATCGGGAGCTGGGGTCCCTGCAGGGGGACGTCTTTCCCGCAGTGAAGGGGAAAAGGCAACTTTCTGCACGAGAAGCTGCTTCTTCCTAAAAGGATGATGTGTTCCCTTTTAAAATATGTCCCAGAGATAATGGAACCCCACAAGTTGTCACCCTGCTAGTTCCTGGGAGGACAACCAATGCCAACACAGGATCCAATATTGCCGGGACGCTCCCTTCCGACGCAACATGCTGGTTCACAACTGCAGCACTCAACCCTCTCTCTAATGCCACCGTAGGGCAGGCTAATTTATTCTACGTGACGTTCTTTGCATTTAGCAGCTCTTGTCAGAACTACGGCTCGCCCACGGTCATCCAGCCAGGTGCAAGTGGAGGAGTGGGGAATCAAACCCGGTTCTCCCAGATTAGAGTCCGCGCACTTAACCACTGCACCAGACTGGCTTGAACAGGAGACGCTGGGGATTCGAGCTAGGTGCCAAGCAGATGTCCTCCCACCGAGCCACGGCCCCTCCCCCCCAAGGGCAAGAAACATCTGAGGTGCCCAGAGGGCCACTGGGGTTCACCGGTGAGGTCTACAAAACATCCACACGTTAACTAGCTCAGCAGAGGTTGCAGAACCAGGTAAAACTGAACTGGGCCTCTGTGCGAGTGGACCCCTTTGGGGAGGGTGGGGGGAGGCAGAGTTCCGTGTGCATCTCCTTGGGAGCCGCCAACTGCACAAGGTCGAGAAATACCATCCTTTCGGGTCTCATGACAAGTATTCATTTACCTGGCCTCAGGGTCTGGGTGTAACCAACTCCAACTAGACTAGAATTGTTCACTTTTGCCTGCAAAACAATAAAGGGAAAAGCCTCAATTGATGAAAGAATGTTCGTAATCCTGTTTGACTGCCACGGCGACTGGCAACGGGCCCAGACATCCGAGGCTCGAAAAGCAAGTCCTGAAGTGAGGAAACAGCCGGAAGCAGGAAGACTCTCCCAATGAAGTGGGTCATTTTATGACCCATCTTACTCAAATCTCGCCCCTCCACACACATACACACCCCTTGAAATGAGAATGCACAAGGGTTAGTTGTTGCGTGGCCGGGAAATCTCCAACTAATGAACTCCAGCCGTGAAAGCCTTCGACAACAGATTAATACACAAGC